TTTCAGGAAGCAGGGTTTAGGGTTTGAGGTGTATGGCGCAGCTCTCAGGGCATTATGAACAAGCCTTTCCCCTCTCTGTCTCCAGATTTCTGGGCTTCGGATACAGGTTAAACCTCCTTCTCTTCCTCTTCGCGAAAGGGTCGGGGATGTGCGGTTAGGACTTTATAGAGTTTGGGGTTCAGAGTTTTAGGTTTCGGGCTTTGGGAAGCAGTGGTGACACATACACTGTAGCAAGCTGCATACTGGTAAGTAGAGCCTCGACGATCGCTGCATAAGGAGAATCATGACAAGAGTCATGGCACGAACATGCAGCCGGCGCAGTGCAGAGTGGTATTGAATGCTATGGAGTACTGAGTACTGAAGGCCTGCCACCTAGGAGTCGATATGTATGTTACTGTGCGCCTTGTGTTGCAGCCGCGTCGCCAGGAATGAAAAACGTCTTAGCCTTGCCATTTCCTTCCTCTCTGGAGGTCGCAAGAATGTCGAGATGCGCGATAAACCCTTGCTAAATCCTAAGCCCAAATCCTAAACCCTCAACAAATAGGGGATCCGGAATGGAAACCTTCCTGAAACGGATCCCGAGCAAAACCAGGAATGGACCCGAACTTGACGAAACCCCCTTCCAAGCGCCCTTTCACGCTCTCTACGACCTTTCGAATCTGATGAAAAAAACCACCTGCCGCTTGGACCGCCGCAATAAACCTTTAAAGATCCCTGGCAATACCCAAAGTGCACCATATAGCGCGCTCCCTAAATCTTCATAATACCGTTCTTGCTCCCCTATGATCCCCCTTTTTTTCCCTTATGGCTCCCTTCAAAAATCCATAGAAGAACCCTTACAACGCCATTCGACTTCCCCTTATAACTCCCTCATAGCCGCCCTAAGACCCTAAACCCTGAACCCTGAACCCTAAACCCTAAACCCTGAACTGAACCCTAAATCATGAACCCTGAACTGAACCCTAAACCCTAAACCCTAAACCAGAAACCCTAAACCCCTAAAACCCAAACCCCTAAACCCTAGACCTCTAAACCCTAAACCCCAAACCCTAAACCCCTAAAACCCCTAAACCGTAAACCCTAAACCCCGTTTCCAAACATCCTCTGGGCCCCAAGGCTTCGCGTCCGCCTTAGGTCTCGGCGAGGGCGGGCGCCTGAGTCCCGGGGAGTAGGGTTTGTTTAGGGTTTAGGCTTTAGGGTTGAAGGGCCTTTGGGAGATTTAGGGTCTTGTGTTTTCGGGGTTGTTTTCCGTGGTAGGTGCTTTTTCTGTGGGTTTTGGGGAGTTTAGGGTCTTGAGGTGTTTAGGATTTTGGGGTGCTTAGGACTTGGGAGTTTGAGGGTTTGGGGTTGGGTTTAGGGTCTCGGGCTGGGGATTTAAAAGGTCTAGAGTTGGGGGTCTCCGTTAAGGCTACAGCGGGTTGGGACTTGGGGGCCTTGGGTTTAGGGCCCAGGATTCAGGATCTCCTGTGGAAGTGTTAGGCTTGGGATCAATGAGCTTGCTCGCATGTGCACCATGGAGAAGTGGACCCTTGATGGCCAGCGCCCACCATCATCATCATAAGTCATCGCCATCGTCGTCCTCATCACGATTCTCGCAATTCCCATCATCATCATCATCATCAGCATCATCATCATCATTTATTGTTTAAGAGCACTAGCATCATCATCACGACCGTCATCATGACGTGCCTTCAAGCAGCATCTTGAGCGGAAGCGGCAGCAGCAACTACGGTCCTCAACATCGTCATACTCTTCCACATGTTGATAATCCTCTTCTGGACCTTGTCCACCCTGTCATGATCAGTCGCGTTGCCATGATGATCATCATCACCATCAGCATCATCCTTCATCCTTTCTGTCAATCAACCCATCAACCGAACCGATGTGGTCACTGTCATGGTCACACTGGTCCTCAGAGTTATACTCACCCTTAAATTTTTCTCATCATCACCAGCCCATCCCTCCTCCGCCCTACTAATCACGCCGTATCAGCCATATCACCACACAAACTGCACCCCCCAAACCCAAAAGCTCGCTCGGGGAACGGCGCTGCTTCCGCCTTGGGCTTCGGTGAGGGCGGCGAGCGCCTGCAAGGGAGCCACGGCGCTTGCAAGATGCAGTTTAGGGTTCATAGGGTTCAGGGCTTAGGGAGCAGGGTTTGGGTTTTGGGGGTTTTCAGGGCAGCAGCTCTTGAATTCAACATGTAGTCGACTCCAGAACACAGCGTGCATGCCACATGGCGAGAGGATGCAGGCAGAAATGTACACAATGCAAAAGGTACGCAAGGAATTTCGTCCCATGAGTAGAACTCAATCTTATGGGCTTTCGACGCTAGGCATCCGGCTCGCCGCCACCTGTCGCCTGGCAAAGCTTGAAACAACTGTTGCAAAGCCGCAATATGTATGCGCACACACACACACATATATATATATGTATATATACACAATTATACACAACTAATCAGCGTAGATACACACAATCACACATACTGTACCACCAATACTAGTTAATCGCCAGTTACGACTACGACCACGACAATGACGACGACCACCACGACGACAACCACGACAGTGCGACTACCACCACCAACAACAACACCCTATAAACCCTAAACCCCTATGTAAACCCCTAAACCCTAAACCCTAAAACCCTAAAACCCTAAACCCGAAACTCTAAAACCCTAAACCCTAACAACACCACGACTTGGAGTCCTCCTGCCTCTGCTGCTATTCTTGCAGTCAGCTGAAGGGCTTCAGGAGTGGAAGACAGCCGAGAGCCATGTCGGACTCGGAGATTCGACAAAAATATATATAATCATAATAATAATAACAATAATAATAATAATAACATAAAAACAATAAGAATATTTAATAACACTAAGAATAATAATACTAATAATAATAATAATGGTAATAACAACAATAGTAATAATAATAATAAGGGGAAGCTGATGTGTCTCAGGCTGCAACGAGCACGGATCGCCCTTTTGCTTCATCGACAGCCAGCGCAGGTACAGAAACGGACCCCCCTGATTGCAAAGCAGGTCAAACGAGGGATCCTTTCTTGCAGGGTCTGCGTGGGTTGAAGCTCCACCGAGTGCTGGCAGCACGCTCTACACCCAGCCCGATACGACGGACTGTTGCGGTTGCTACACGGTGCACCAAAGAGACAATCTTTGCTAGCTCCGTGAAAGGACCTTGGTGTTTCCTCCAGAATTGCAGTAGCCTCTTTCGCCGTCTTGAGTTAGCCGGCAAGATATATACAGTTTAGGTAGGGGTTTAGGGTTTAGGGTTTCAGAATATAGCAACCTTGCCTAGTGTCGACTTTGCAAGCCTTACTGCCCGGAGAGATGAGGCGATGTGACACAGCACAGAAGACTCTCAACAAGACCACCCCAAAAGAGAGCCGAACACACATGGATCAGAAACCGTAAAGCCACGAACCATCATTAACCCAAACCCTAGGACTCTAGACCGAATGAATGCCGAAGCTGAACCTGGGAGGAAGCATCAAGGCAGCGCCGAAAATCGTGGACTCCAAACTTCCAGGTGTTCTGTAGGATTTTGGGAAGCCCCCCCCCCTTTGGGAATTCCTGTAAGCCAGCGTCTCCAAAAGGGTAGCATAAAGAATTAAGGCAAGACGGCAAGAAGACAACATGCACCAAGTTTCAATCGTCGTATTAATGTCAGAGCTCGCTCGGGTATGTAGTGGTAGCCACGCGTACTGGCGGCAATCACAATATGAGGAAGTTGTGGTGGTGCATTAGCGGCCGTGAAGAAGTTGTGGTGCTGTTGTATATGAACTGATGTTCGGTGACGGCGCTGGCAGTGGCCCCACGGCCAGCGGCAGCAGCAGCAGCAGGAGCGGAGCAGGAGCAGGAGCAGTAGTTCTTGTGGTTGTGTCGTCGTGGTAAAGTAGTAGAGGTAGAATCAGTAGACGTGGTAGTGGGATTCGTAGTTGCGACAATAGCGGCAGCAGTCATCAGTCGCATTCGTCGCAGTAGTAGGAATCTTCGGCTGCAACAGTAGCAGTAGGAGCAGTGGTGAAAATAACAACTAGCCACAGACATGTCACTAGTTCACATGTTTTTGTGTAGCTAGTTGTCGTCTTTCGATTCTGCGAAGCTTGCGTCGCAGGGCCCCGTGTCCTACAAAAGGTTCTGGAAGCATGGCAAGACTGTACAGATGGCAGGCGCAAACTTGGATCCTTCCGGCGGGCCCGAAACAAGGGTCTTCCAGCATTGTATGGACCTATGATTTCCGAAGTTGAGGTTTCAGGCTCATGGGCTTGAGGGTTCGGCGTTTATGGGGGCCAGAGAGCATCGTGATCCGTGGTATTCGGCACTTCAGGCTTGAAGGACGTATTGGGTCGTAAATGCGAGAGTGTGCAGCCTAACCTCCTTAGAAGTAAACCCCAAGTACCCCAAGTCCTGAACCCTAAACCCCTAAACCCTCAACCCCAACTACAGCACGCAGCTCCATACCTTGGAGCCGCGGCTTTTTGAAGGCCCTTGCTGGGCACGGGCGGATCCTCGCGCCTGCTTCAAATGCAGCAGCCGGAGCTGCGTGGGGGGCCGCTTTAAAAGCGCGCTAGGCGCAGCCGCCTCGACGGGGCGGACGTGCCGAAACAAGCCCTGGCTTGTGGCGGAGAAGGAAGGAGCTGCGGTTTTTTAGGGTAGGCTTAGGGTTTAGGGTGTTGGGGTTTAGGGATTAAGTTGAGGATTTAGAATTCTGTTTTGGGTTTTGGGGGCTCAAGAGAATTTGAGGCACTCCTTCCAGCTAAAGGGAGCACATCTCGGCTCACCGCAACTGTACATGAAACAAGCTTGCTGGACTTGGGAAGTCACACCATTCATGGCAAGCTTTAGGGACGGTCTTTCCTGAACGCCTTCTCATAAGCCTAGTACTGTGCGTTTCACACCTTGTACACCATCCACCCACTGGCATCCATGTTGAGCGGATTCGGAATGACCATCGGGATGCCAACAAAAACGCAAGAAATCAATTTTCAGAAATCGTCAGCTTTGCTGTCTGGAAGAAACTGGTTGGAGGCCTCGGCGGCTGAAGTGTTGGGCTTCTCGACTCAATGGGACTTCTTTCTGTGAGCACCCAGAGGCGTTCAGCATGCCTTCATCTTTACGCCTGCCTGCCACTTGCTGGCCTCGTCACACTTCTCAATCCGGGAAGGGGAAAAACAAAGGGGAATAGAGCAGGGGAAGTGAGGGAGTTGGAAGCCGAGAAACAGGCACAGGGAGAAACCGAAAGAAATAACTAAAGACTCATGTATATGTATGAATACGATGCACAGCATTGACATATACATATTTTCATATTTATCGCTCTCTCTCCTCTGTGGCCTTTCCTTCCCTCTTTCTGCAAGCGAAGCGGCCGCGCTGCAGGCTGCGCCTTTGGCTGGCCCACGTGGATGGAGCTTCCCAGCCTTAGCGCAAGGGAGAGAGCTCGACACAAAGGCTGCCGTGCAGATCTGGGTGGTAAGGGTTCGGAGTTGAGGGTAGGTTGGGGGGGTTTTTGATCGAGGGTTTTGGGATGTCAAACTTCCCAGAGAGGCATCGTGGGTTTTTTGTTAACGCTCTCTGTGTTCTTGTTTAGCCTTTCAGGGTCCCAAAAGCATTTCGACCTTACAATTTAACCTAGAACAACCACACGCTCAACCGCTAAAGCCCACAAAGCCAAAAATAAACTTGAAAAACTCCAAAAGCCGCAAACCCCAAAACGTCAAAACCTGCGAGACCCCTAAAGTATTCAACAGCAGCTCAGCTTCTGGGTAGCCTTCTTAAATTAAATAGGTTCCGTTTTCGTGTCCTTTTTAGTAGGGTGCCGGACTATATTGGGGACCTAAAGCGGGACCCTAATTTCGAGAACTACTCTTTTCCACCCAGCCACAGCGTGGCGAGCAGGGCCACGAGGATGCCACAACAAATTGGAGCTGCGAAGCGCCTCCTCGGAGGCTCCTGACGTGCTTAAGGTTTAGGGTTTAGGGCTTTAGGTTTTAAGGCTTTGCGGGTTTTCGCGCTAATTGAATTTGAAGTTTTAGGGTCCATGGGTTTTGAGGGCCTTGAGGATTGAACTTGTTGAGGATCTTTTTCGGCTTTAGATGGCTTTGGTTTACGGCTTTGCGGTTTCAAGTTTTCGGGTCTCGGTTGTGGAGATTCACCCCAAAAACCCGAAATACAAGACACGATAAACCCTACAAAGCACTATAAAGCCCCTTGTGAACCCTACGGGCGAGGTATAGACTGCTTTCTTGCAAAACGTTGGTGCCAAGGGCATCAAGTCCGAGTGCGGGGAGTAACAGGAACCCGTTTGGGGAGTTAGGGGAAGCCATTTCTGGGGGTCGTAACGGGAACGAGGGCTAGTAGAAACAGGAACCGCAACGGGAGCGTAACAGGAACTGTCCCCAGGAAAGCCAAGCAACCGAAACTATGCTGAAACTCTTGTGGGGGACCAGTTTTCGGTCCGCTACTTTGACACCATGAAAGCCGCCTATGTTTCGTTCGAGGCATATAGCATTTGGGGTTGAAACAGATTCTTGTCTCTGAAGCCACGAACTGTTTCTTCGTATAGTTTTGGTCGGAGGAATATGGATGTTTTATCTTACAAGAAGGTTCGCACTAATGCAAGTCGAAGTTGTCGTACTACGAGTACCACTACTATGGTGGCGGGGGTAGGCTTTTGCACGCCATCGTGGACTGACCAGCGCCAGCTTGGCTTGTTGTCTGGGTTGAGGGTTTAGGCTTGCGCGTTTTAGGACTCTGCTGCTGCGGAGGTATTTAGGAGGTTGTTTAGGGGTTCAAGGGTTTCGTAAATTTTAGTGGCTTAGGAGTGTAGGGTTGACGGGTCAGGTTCAAGGGTTGAGGCATTTGCCAGTTGAGAACGGCTTCAAAACGCTCGAGAACGGCTTTGGGGCTTTGGGGTTTCGGTCAGCTCTTAGCACCAGAATTAGGACGAAGAAAGACATGACGAGACCACATTTGAGCCTTCGTCATACGATCGTAAACACACAAGTCACGAAATTTGCAGAATCACTCGCGGCAAACACATGCAATTTTATACTGGAGCGATAATGGCAACACCCGATGCTGCAGCCATCGGAAATTCAGGACAAAGGTTGCTGTGGACATATGAGGTCAGTTTCTAGTGCTACATGACATGACGGTTTGAAGCCGTATAAGTGGGGGACCGGAAAGAAGTTGGCGAGCCCACAAGAGCAGGTGGATGTGAAACAAGTCATTCTTTGAGCCCCGCACTGGTTCCTGTTGCGAGGGGCGGCGTGGAGGGTGTTACAGGAGCTGGTGGTTGTTGTGACAGGTTCCCGTTGCGGACACCCTGTTCCCGCTACGGCAAACACTCCGTCAAGGCCCGTCCTCATCTTTCGCCAAGTCCAACTCGTCCTCCTCTTCCTCTTCCTGGCCGCTTTCCTGCAGGGCAGGTGTGCTGAGATTAGTGCTTCTGGTGTTGAGGGTATTTTGCGTTTGAGGCTTTAGGCTAAACGGCTAAACCCGCCCCCTAAACTCCAAAACCTGCACCCTAAACTATGAACCCGAAACCCTGGACCCACAACGCAAGACCCTTCAAGACTGTACGGTGTTTTCACGGGCCTTTCGGTGCTGGCTGCTAACAGTGAGGAAGCGAAGGCTCTTACTGTCCGGGCTCCTATCAGCGGCGACATGTCGACTCATAGATAGGTAGACACCCAGACAGTGGATTTGCGCACCATGTTCTATCAAATTATAGTGTCATACTATCATCTGATCGTCTTAGAATGTACTCTTGAACCTTTATCTTAGTGAACTTACTGTGTGATTCGATCCCCAATTCAACCCAAGCAGCAAAGCCACAGTGCACTGGCCTCTTCCACCTGGGGCAACGGCGCGTTGCGAGCCGGCCGGAACCTCGCACAAGACATGTTCGGGCTTAGGGTGTCTTTTGGGAGCGGGGATTCGAGTGGAGTTGAGGGCCTTCAGGGTTTCGGGGAGGTACTACAGGGTTCACGACTTGGGCCATCTTCGAGTTACAGGGTCTTTTTTCCAGGGAACTTCGGAGTGACCACATAAGCTTCGATCAACTCTTCCCACGCAGGCAACAAGCAACCCCGGCCTTCACAAAACCTCGAGCCCCAAAAGCATTCTCAACTTTAAAGGCCCTATACCCCAAGTGCCAAAGCACTGAACAACGCCTGAACCCATCCCAAACACCAAAAACCCCCCAAAAAAATCCCAAAAACCAGAAAAAAAAACTCCGTAAATCTTCCGGCATAGCTGAGCCCAGGAGCTCGGCGGCATTCGGTCGGAGGGGTCTCGACGGCGTCTTGGCCTCAAGGCCTCCCGAAACCTTCTGGCCCACCTCGGAGGGACACCGGGAGTGTCGGGATGGGGCGTAAGGGCCTCCTACTTGGAGGCCCACTGGACGTAGTAAGTCGGTTATAAGTAGGGTTATAATTAGGGTTTAGGGTTTAGGGTACTTATAACTCTACTTATAACCCACTTACTAAGTCCCCTGGGCCTCCAAGTACTGTTGATGAGATAAATCCTGCATTACCTGAAGGACCCTAAGCTATGGGAATTGTGGTATATTCCTTATTGTGGGTAATGCAGGATGTATATCATCAACCGTATCACTTACAAAACAAGGCATCACGAACCACTCTGCTTTCCCTCATGGGGGCCCAGAACCCCAAACCCAAAACGGAGCACCCCGGAGCCCTAACTGGGGGTTACCGAAAATAGGGGGATCTTCAAAAAGTACCCTAAATCGTAGGATCCTTACAAGAAGGACCCCCAAAATAAGGGACCCCTTATTATTGGACACTCCCACATGAAAGACCACCCTAAACCCTAAACCCCCTAACTTTCGGAAAGTCCCAACTCATCTGCTGCTTGAGATGCTTCAGGGAGGGCGGAGGAGAGCCGAGGATCAGGATCAGCCGGCTCCAAGGACACCAAGGCCCTCTTCGGCCTGCAAGGGGATGGGCTTTGGGGGTTTGGGGTGTAGGGCTAAGGGCTTAGGGTTTAGGGCTTAGGGCTTAGGGCTTATAGGGTTTAGGGTTTAAGGCTTAGGGTTTAGGGTTTTCGGCTCAGGATTTAGGGGTCAGTGTTCAGGGCTTATAGGGTTCAGGGCTTAGGGTCTAGGATTTAGGGCTTGGGGGCCACTTCAGGAGTTTGCAAGGGTTCTACCAGGTTCCTGCAGCAGTCCTACGAGAGTCCTACCAGGATGCGGTTCTAGAGCCGGTCTACGAAGACCAGTCGGGTAGTTCTCTGAATTAGGGTCCCGCTGAGGGCCCTTTTTTCAGGGTGCCATATTATATTGGGGGGACCCAAGAAGGGACCCTAGTCTAGAGAACTACCCTCTATTTCAGGGCTCTCCTTGGGTTCTATACACGGGCTTCTCTTGTACAAGTGCCTCAGCGTGTCATCTGCGGCCGCACCCTCCGTGGATGTTAGCCAGGAGAGGACGACCTTTCAGGCGTTCAGCGGCTTAAGGAGTTTCAAGCTTTAGGGGTTGAGAAATTTTTAGGGGTAGGGTTTCGGTTTAAGGTTCAGGGGTGTTGAAGGGGGGGTGCTTCTTTGCCTTGGGCGGCTCAGGGAGCTCCGGGGCTGGGTGGCCCTCTACGAAAGACCCCTTTGCTTCAGAGTTGAGGGGTCTGGTGTTTCGCCAGAGTTGAGGGGTTTATAGGGTCTAGGGACCCCCCCCTTGGGTCAACCCCCCAAACGGTTTCGGTCCGCACCCTGAGAGGTGAAGAGGATGAGAATCGGGCTTTTGGGACTTCCGGTGCGCTTTCGGTCTCTACCAGCCTCTCGCTCTGAAGGGCCTCCTCACTTGGAGACCCAGTGGACTTAGTAAGTCGGTTATAAGTAGGGTAACTCCATTTAGGGTACTTATACCTCTACTCATAGCCCACTTACTAGGTCCCCTGGGCCTCCAAGCTGGTAAGTAGCTTGAGGGCATTACACCATGTTTGACTTTGTAGCGTCTAAAACTTAGTGCTTAAGGGTAGTACTCTTTAGTGAGGCATTCTTCGGAGCCCCTTCGACGTCCGATGTGCACCTCGCAGGTAGCCGCGGCCACAATCGGATCAAAGACATGCACCGGCAGCTTCTTTCCTCACAGGGCAAGATGAACTGGGGGTGGGTTTGGGGATTTCGGCTCGGCACGGTGCTCCGCAAGGATGGGTCTGTCGCATTGAAATCTCAGGACAATCTGGCGAGTCACATGCAGTCCTCCACGCCCAGCAGGCCCATCGGGAGGACGCTGGCGCCTCCATCAACACTTCAAAGAAGGCACAAAGACAACAGCCTCCTGTTAAGGGGTGGTGGGCAAGAGCGCATGGGTTCATATCACGGTTCCATGTTTTGGCACCTGCAGCGATTTGGGCCTGGGAGTCTCCACCCGACCCGAAGACTGAACTCCACTTGGATCCTCGTCTTCACTTCGAGAGATGGCAGTCCCTTTCAACTGTTCTGCCTTGAGACGGCCATTGATGGCGGGAGCTCTTCCAGCCTGCTCGCTGGGACGATTTCCGGGGTTTCCTGCTCAGTGGTAAGCCAGTGACTGGTGGTATCGCAATAGTCCCGGCTGTGAACAGCTGTATTCTCGTTTGTTGGTGCAGTCGTCGTTGTTTACCATGGGGCACGATGAAGACTGTGCGACCCTGGTGACGACCACCGCTACTAGAAATACTGCCGCTCCTCCTGCCTCCGCTGCTTCTACGACACCTGTTTCTACTTGTGATTCTGCCACAGTGCTACAGCTGCTAAGGCGACTGGATCGAGCTGCCTTCGTGCGTGCAGACGAGGTGAGGCGGGGTGCTCCAGGCGACGCAAGGAAAGGAGCAGCTGTCGAGTGTAGATTCCTGAGATGAGAATTAAGTGGGGTTATAAGTAAGGCAGCTACAGTTATAACCCATATTAGGGGACTTATAACCATACTTATAACTAACCCATGAACCTCCAAGTACAGGCAGGGACGGAGACGCCCCAGCAAGGAACAACAAGAAAAGAAGCCCAGCTCAAACCTTGCCGAACCATTGCATACTGAAACCCTTCAGCCACTTGCTCCTGCTATCTTCAACCCTAAGCCCTTAACCCCTAAACCTTCGACCCGTAAACCCTATAAAGCCTAAACCCTCAATCCTAAACCCCTAAAAACCCCTAAAACCCTAAACCGCCATCTTCGCCAAGAAGCGCGGCTTTCGCCGCTCTCGGCGAGACTGCGCCACGGGCCCTACATCAATCGAAGGCTCGGGGGATCTAGAGTCCCTATAGAGGTGAACTCTGCTACCTTTTTTTTTACGTGATGATATTTAGGGCTTAGGGCTCAGGGTTGTGGGTTTAGGGTTTAGGTTTTAGGGTATTAGGGCTTAGGGTTTAGGGTTCTGGGTTAAGGGCTTAGGGCTTAGATATTTTGGGACTGCAAGTGGAATACTACAGTACCAACCCATTCCAAACCACCTTTTTTGGGGGGTTAGATCCAAGGTTCGAGTCCGAGGAGTCGGGCTTCCGGATGGAAGACATGGGGATTCAGAGATCAAGGGGACCTCTTTTACGAAAGTCCTGTCTAAAGGAGCCTTCCAAAGAACCATCGCAGAGCTATGAGAGGTCCTACGATGATTTGAAAAATACACCAGGAGCCCCTAAGTAGTTCCTTTTTATGGTTTATGTTTAGAATCCTATAAGGTAATCCCCAAAAGGAACTACTTCGGGGCCTATGGGTAGAGTCAGTAGGAAGTCTGGGGCTCGAAACCACGGCCTTTGGGGTCTCCAGTCCCGGTCTGCAGAGCTCCAGACCAGGTGTATACATCTATGAATGAGCCACCCTAAACTCTGAACCCTACCTGTAACCGGAAAAGACCTACCTTTTTAAGGCACTATATATAGAAACCATAACAATGAACCCGAAAAAAATTTAAAAAGGTAGGTCTTTCCGGCTAGAGGCAAACCCTAAACTGCACCCCAACGGTTTTCAGAGCTCGAGGGCATGAGGAGCGGTGGGAAGCGGTAGCGGTAGCTCTGAAAGGGAGAGGCAAAGGGCCCCTGCTGGGAGGTTCATGGGTAGCTATAAGTATGGTTATAAGTCCCCTAATATGGGTTATAACTGTAGTTACCTTACTTATAACCCCACTTATAACTACCCATGAACCTCCAAGTGAGGGCATCCCACAGGCCTGGGATCTGTTCATCCTCATCAGTGGCGTCCGCCCAGCAGGTTATCCTTTCCAAGGTCCTGGGCCACGTCGCAGTAGCAGCAGCAGTAGCAGTAGCAGTAGGAGTAGCAGTAGCAGTAGCAGTAGCAGTAGCAGTAGCAGTAGTAGTAGTAGTAGTAGGAGTACCCCTGCATGGCACTCGACCTACCCTCTCAAGCCTTGGAGGTAGCCACGGCTCGTGAAGCAAAAAACCGACTCTGAGGCCCCCACGCTATCGGGTTGCTGCGTGGAGCCTGCTCCTGGTGAGTAGGATAACTGAGACATCGCACCAAGCTTGGGAATTCTTGGAGTCGAGAGAGCAGTCGAAACCCCAATATCCGGTACCGTGCTTCCACCGATGGCATACAACTGAGACTGCGACGGGCGACACTGCGGCCCGACTGCCCGGCGCCTGAGTCTGTGGCATGGCTGCGACACTCCACGAACAAATATTGAAACCTTGCCAAAGAACAATGTACAGCAAGGCAACGGGAGCAATGACAACGAGTACAATCCTGAGGCGGAGGTGGTGGTGGGGGTGGGGTGGCGGGGGTGGGTGGTGGGGGATGGTTGGGGGGTGGTTTCGGGGGGTGGTGCGGGGTGGGTGGGGGGGGATGTGGTGGGTGGTAACACGTAGAACCCGACTGTAGAACCCCGGAAAAGGCGGGGACCTCCTGAGGCGCCATTGTGCCATAGCAGCGGTATAGGGACAGAGATGGATTCTGACAGCACGATGCGATGATGAATTTTTATGTCACGAGCCATGCATATTTTGCTCAAGTTGTCCGCGTGATTCCTGACCGCTCATCTGAACTCCTTGAACAGTCTGCTTGTTTGCTTGCTCCGGTTTTTCCATGGCCATGGTTCACCCCTCACTTAGCTGGTGAGAGAGCACACCCAACCCTACTTGCCACAGAGACATTCCAATCATGACACCCTTCCAGACACCTTTGTCTTTACTTCTCGCAAGCCTTGTTCTCAAAATGGCTGCAGCAATCTGGTATGGCCAAGGTCATGACTTCCACAACGTCCGGAACCAACAAGCATCGAAGAAGCCAAAAAGGCTCAAACCTTGAGCCCTAGACCCTTACTGCAACCCTGCCCCTGCCACGAATCTCTGCAGCCCTTTCTCTGGCTGCGGGCCTTTGGCTTGGGCGACGCCGATGGGGGCCTGACAAGACATCGACCCCTCTGACTCAGCGGCAGCAGCTTTTTTTTGGGCTGGCACGCCGTGGATTTTGCTCCACTGCTTTTCCTGTATGGCTGGGCCTCTATGCTTTACACCCACATGCCGTGAGCCTATGGCAGTGTTCATCAAAGCTTGAGAAGGATGTGACCTGTGTTGCAGGCACGCGACAGCACGGAGGGCTGGTAACCTCTGAACTGCTCAATCCCAGAGACTCCAATATCCCTTAAATAAGGAAATATTCCTGAAATTATGGTAGGATCCCTAATATGATTTAAGGTACATATTCCTTAATGAAGGGATATTGCAGTCTCTAGGATCCACCAAGAACCACCACTCTGCGATTGCCTGCCCGTCGGCCGCTCCGGCGTGGAAGGGGGCGCCTCCAGGACACTGCTTGGAGGTTCATGGGTAGTTCTATGTATGGTTATAAGTATGGTTTAGGGTTTAGGGTTTAGGGTTTTACGGCTCATGGGTAGTTATAAGTATGGTTATAAGTCCCCTAATATGGGTTATAACTATAGTTACCTTACCTATCAACCCCACTTAGAACTACCCATGAACCTCCAAGTGCTGGCTTTGTCTCAAGCTGAGCTCGCAAGATTGTCCCGCAATTCTGCTTCTCGCTTCAAGCTGAAGGGGGCCTTGGGGTCATCTGCGCTGAGTCACGGCAAACCCTGAACTCTAAACCCTACAGACCCTAAACCCTAAACCCTGAACCCTAACCCCTGAACCCTAAACCCTGAACCCCTAAACCCTAAACCCTAAAACCCCTAAACCCTACAGTATTTGCCACCGTGGCTGCGATCAGCTCTCCCACAGCGGCCTTCGCCTTTGCCGCCTGAGGAGGAAGATTTCAAGTTTTAGAGAGGGTGTTATTTATAAGGGCCCTACTAATTAAGGGTTTAGGGTTCAGGGTCTAGGGTTTAGGGTTTAGGGTTTAGGGTCTAGGGTTTAGGGTTTAGGGTTTAGGGTTCAGGGTCTAGGGTTTATAGGCATGCAAGAACACAAGAAAAGCAGGCTACTTGGCTGAGGAAGAGCATCTTCTCATACCCTAACCCCGACGCTAGGAAACCCTAAATTCTAAATCCTGTGGGGTCTTGTCAGGGCTCACTCTCCATGATCCTCAACTCGAAACCCCCAAACCCTAAAGGTAAACCGAAAACCCCAAACCCTAACACCGTAACACCCGCAAACCCCTACCACCCTTATCCCTAAACGCTACAGTAGGCCCTCAACTCTGAATCGCAAACCCTCCATCCTAAACCCCAAACGAGCCCCCAGCAACTGCCTCCCAAAAACCTTAGGTAAAACCCTCAAGCAACTCTGTGGTAAAGAACGCGAAGGCCACCCACCCCCCTGCCCCCCCAAAAAAAATGTGAAGCTCCTGCAAGCTACCTACAACCCCCAAACCCAAAGCAAAGCCCTAAACCCCCCAAGAAGGGCGCGAAAAAGCCCTAAAACACCGCAAAAAGGGCCGTGAAACCCCCAAGAAACAGGCCTTTAGTTCGCCGGACTGGTTCTGTGCCTCTGTTGCCTCACTCCGGTACTGCACCTGGCAGACTCTTCGGGTTCAGGGCTGCAGGGTTTAGGGTTTAGGGATTTAGGGTTGAGGGCTTTCGGGCTTCAGGGTGCTAGGGGTTTTGGATAGGTGTTGCCCTTTGAAAGTTTCAACATATTTGTGGAACGAGATCGGGGAGTTTGAGCACGTGAAGAGTTTGGAGAATGAAAAGTTTGAAGTTCGAAGGTTTGAAAGCTTCGAGATGTAAAACAGGCGAGAGTTTGGAGTTTGAATTTTTGAACAGGAATCCAAAAAGTTTGAAACCTTGAAGCTGTGGCGACAGGTGCCCTGCGACGCTCGTGCGATGGAGGACACGGGTGTCCACAGGGACACCTCCCAGGCTCGAGTAATTCCGCAACTTTCAAGATCGAAACTCGGTGGACCGTCCAACTTTCGAACTTGACGCTTTTCAATGCCTCAGTCGGATGAACTTCCAAACCTTCGAACTCTCGAGCTCTCGAACTTTTTTCACGCCTTTCAAACTTTCAATCTCTCTAGCGTTGGAACTCCACATCTTTCAAAGGTTGCAAAACCCGAACTGTCAAACTCGTGCAGCCATGGAGAGCAAAGGC